ATAATATACAGACATAACACATACATTATTGAATTATATATAAGCATAATATACATATAACAGCTTATATATTTATCTATACATTAATTATAGATTACCTAATTTATATGCAAAATTAAAGTAAAGTGCTTAAGCCTGGCCTTGAATGTGGAGACCGTATCTGCTTCCTTAACATAAATGGGAAGCTGATTCCACAGTAAAGGAGCTTGGTAGCTAAATGCTCTGCCACCAACAGTGACCTTTGAGACCTTTGGGACCACCAGGAACGTCTGGCGTTTTGTGAGCGCAACGCGCGACTGGTTTGATACGAACACTAACGTGTCTTGGAGATAAGAGGGAGCCAAGCCATTTATGGCTTTATATTGTTAAGAGTAGGATTTTAAACTTTATTCTGTAACTCCACAGGGAGCCAGTGGTAGTGATTTTAACACCGGAGTTATGTGCTCCCTCCTTTTGGTACCTGTTAAGATCCTAGCGGTGCTGTATTCTGAACGAGCTGGAAGCTCCTTCAAAGAGGCTTTAGGGCACGCTGCCAGTAAAGCGTTACAGTAGTCGAGCTTGAGGTGACAAACGCGTGAATGAGTTTTTCCGCGTCACTTTTAGGAAGGAAATTCCTAATTTTAGCGATGTTCCGTAAGTGGAAGTACGCCATGTTTTAGTTGCTTGGCTTATATAAGCCTTGAAGGAGTGTTCTTGGTCAAAATGACTCCAAGATTCCTCACAGTGTTACTGGGTATTATACTGACATTATCGAGAGTAACCATCTGGTTAGTGAGGGAGTCACGCAGGCGCTTCGGAGCCGAGTAGGATCACTTCTGTCTTCTCCGGGTTGAGAAGTAGGAAGTTAAGAGTCATCCACATTTTAAGGTCTTTATGCAGGCACTGAGCTTTTCTAGCTGATCTGGTCTGGATTTAGGCTTCATCGACAGATAAAAAGCTGTGTGTCATCTGCATAGCAGTGGAAATTAATTCCATGCTTTTATAATGTTTCCCAGTGGGGGGGGGGGGGGTAACAGCATGTAGAGAGTAAAAAGAATCGGTCCGAGTACCGAACCCTGCGGCACACCGAATTCCACATCCAGAATAAGGCGACGAGTCCTGATTCCACATTGAACGAAGTGATATCGATTGATAAATAGGATTTAAACCAGCCAAGGGCTGTTCCTCTAAGGACTATATCACATTCTAGCCTCTGCAGTAGAATGCTGTGGTCTATTGTGTCAAATGCAGCACTAAGGTCCAGTAGGACCCAGGCACTGACTTTGTCCATTATCGGCAGCTAGTAGTAAGTCATTTGTGACTTTGGACTAGTGCCGGTTTCAAGTGCTATGATGAGCTCTGAATCTGATGAAAGACTTCAAACATATATTTTCCTGCAGGTGGCAGCGGAGCTGGCTCAGCTATAAGTTTTTCCAGGTTTTTAGATATAAAAGTGAGGTTTTGAGAGCTGTAGTCTGTGTAGTTGTGTAAGTATGTTCTGGGTCCAGGTTTGTTTTTTCTTGACAAGAAGGGGTTTGATTACCGCGGTTTTAAAAGCTTGTGGGACATAGCCACATTGTATGGATGCGGTTATTATATTTACGATAGGCTCAATTATCAAGGGAAGTATGTCTTTGATGAGCCATGTCGGGACTGCGTCTAACATGCAAGTTGAGGCTTTTGAGGATGTGACCCACAGAGATCACCTCTGCTTGGCTCACAGCCATGAAGTTTATTAAGGCCCACTGAAGAGTCTAAGTGGGAAGTCACGTATGCCGCTTCAACTGTCCACCATAACCAGCAGGAGCAACCTCCTCCAGCTTGTCACGGATGGATGTAATTTATATTAATAAAGTGGAGTGGAGAAAGTTACGACACTGCTCAGTGAAGCTTGGAATTTTTAGCTCGATTGCGCATATGGCAGTTGTGAGTTTAGCAGGTACCGAACAAAAAGTCTACTGTGTTTTTATTTCCTTCTATTAAAGTTGAATATATTGATTTCGAGCCCCGCGAAGGCCATCTTGTAGTTTCGGAGACCTGCTTTTCCTCTTCCTGTGGACAGGCTCCGAGTGGGAGTGGCGATATAGCCCTCTCCAATTTTCTGAACCGATCCTGTTTTTAACAGTGTGGAGTTGAACACTGTACCAGGCGGACGATGAACTAATCCTAATGGTTGTCTGTTTTAAAGGAGCTGCTGCATTTAAAGCAGATTTAAAGACTCCCCAGTAGTGTTTGCCCACCGTTTGGTCAATGACTGAGGGACTGCAGCGAGCTGTGAACGGTTAACCTGCAGCAATTCAACATAGGCGTATTAGTTCTTGAACAACGTTGGATAGATTTATCATTTAAGGTTCTTTTCATTATGGTTTTATCTTGGCGGGGACAGGAAAGTCCCTCCAAAGCGAGATCAAACGTGATCATGAAATGGGTCATTACAGCAACGCGCTTTGACGCTGGAATGTCAACATTGGAGACATCACAGCCGTAGTCTTGACAAGGTCCCAAGGGTGGTTATGAATGTGAGTAGGTTCCTCGACATTCTGAGTAAAACCAACACCATCTTGTACGGAGCTGAAAGCTTTGTTTAAGCTGTCAGTGCTGTCGTCCACATGTATATGGACGTCTCCTGCTATAACTATGTTTTTCCCATTCCAAAACTAGGTTTGAAATGAAGTCAGTAGAATTCTGTTAGAACCGCTGTACAGCGATCAAGAAAAATCTTCGTAAAGTCTTCTGCCCCCAGCTGCGGACATGGTCAAGCATTTAAAACCTGAAACACGTCCCGCAGTCTACCTCCAGATCCTCGATTCAGCGTATGGCACCGTGCAAGACGGCGATGAGCTCTATGCAAGATTCATGGACACGTTCCAAGACGGAGGGGAAAAACCATCTACATACCTCCAGCGGTTGCAAGTGGCTCTGACTTTAGCCGTGAAGAGAAGGGGAGTCCCACATGGTGAAGTCAACAAGCACCTGCTTAACCAGTTCTGCCGGGGATGTTGGGACAACACCCTAATCTCTGAGCTCCAACTCAAGCAACAAAAAGCAGACCCGCCATCTTTCGCTGAACTGCTACTGCTGCTGCGTACAGAGGAAGACCGGGAAGCTGCCAAGACATTTCGAATGAAGCAGCATCTGGGTCCCTCCAAAGCCAAAGCTATGACTCAGGCACAATATGCATATGCTGGTGGTGAAGACAAGGAGGTTTCTACATTGGAACAACTCACAAAGCAGTTGGCAGACATACAAAGACAATTAGCAGTTCTTACCGCAGCCCAGTCCAGCTTGAAGCAGCCAACATCATCAAAGGCCACACATCCTGGTTCCGGGGCTAAATCTGCTAAAACCTTTGCACGATCGGCTAATACTCCGGCCTCCGGACCAAAACCAGGTTACTGCTATCAATGTGGTGAAGATGGGCATATCAAACCAGCATGTGACAATGCTCCAAATCCGGCTTTGGTGACACTCAAGAAGAAACAGCACACAGAGAAACTACAGAGATGGCAGAATTCAAACTCCACTCAAGGCCATTCGTTAAACTAGATCCAGTTCCTGTTACGGGGCGAACTGGAACTGCTTTGGACCAAAAATGTCCCAAAAACTCTAAATCAGTTACCTGTGCGGAGCAGACTCCTTCCACTTCCATCATGAGATCTCGGCTGCCGAAGGGGCTTATCGGATCCAAGTGTACAAGTGAAGTCAACATCGCCGGTCAAAGGTGTCAATGCTTACTCGACACTGGATCGCAAGTCACCACTGTCCCTGTCTCATTTTATAACAAGCACTTCTCTCACCAGCCGTTGAAGCCCCTCTGTGACCTTCTCCAAGTTGAAGGGGCTGCAGGCCAAGCTGTTCCCTACCTGGGATACATCGATATGACAGTGACTTTCCCCAGAGACTTTGTGGGCGTCGACATGGAAGTAGCCACACTAGCACTTGTCGTCCCAGACCCACGTCTAGAACTTCAATCACAAGTGCTAATCGGGATGAATACCCTGGAGCCCTTGTACGACCAACATGTGGGGAGTGAACATGCCAGCTTCCAGCCAACAGCACATGGGTATCGAGCTGTCCTGCAACTGCTCCAGCTTCGTCATCAGCAAACACAGTTGGGCAGTGAAGGGGTGGTGCGACTCTCAAGTAAAGCTCCGGTTGTCATCTCTGCTGGTCACACCGTAGTTGTTGAGGGCTCCATCCATGCCATCACTCCACCTGCAGGATGCTGCGCTCTCATTGAACATCCCTCATCTCCACTGGCTGGCGGACTCTGTGTCACAAGCTGTCTGATTACCACTTCAAAGCATGCCCCCCACAAAGTTCCAGTCATCCTCAAGAATGAGTCTGAACAAGACGTGTCCGTCCCTCCTTTGAGTATTATTGCTGAGTTCGTATTGTCACCCCAGATCCTGTCACACGATGTCTCGGTCAAACCTGAGTCCACTCTTCATGATCTGCAACTGAATTTTGGGGATTCGCCCCTACCTCAGGAATGGAGGGAAAGGATCACAAACAAACTGAACCAGATACCGGACGTTTTTTCGCATCATGATTTAGACTTTGGGAGAACGGATAAGATCAAGCATAGCATCAAATTGCATGACGACACTCCATTTAAGCACCGGCCTAGACCCATCCATCCACAAGATATTGAGGCTGTCCGCCGACACCTGCGAGACCTTCTGCAAACTGGAGTAATTCGAGAGTCAGAGTCGCCTTTCGCCTCTCCTATTGTGGTGGTTCGCAAGAAGAATGGCGATGTACGTCTCTGCATTGACTACAGGAAGCTGAACCTCCAAACCAGAAAAGACGCTTACGCCATTCCCAACCTGGAAGAGTCATTTTCAGCGCTGACTGGTTCAAGATGGTTCAGTGTTTTGGACCTCAAGTCTGGCTACTACCAGATTGAAATGACAGAAGCGGACAAAGAGAAAACGGCGTTTGTCACCCCTTTGGGGTTTTGGGAGTTCAATCGCATGCCGCAAGGCATTACAAATGCTCCCTCCACGTTTTAACGCCTCATGGAAAAGTGCATGGCAGATCTTAATCTAAAAGAGGTTCTCGTCTTCTTGGATGATCTGATTATCTTCTCCAGAACATGGGAAGAACATGAAGAGCGCCTGCTGCGAGTACTCAACCGGCTGAAGGAGTACGGTCTCAAATTGTCCCCGGAGAAGTGTAAATTTTTCCAAACCTCTGTGCGCTATCTTGGTCACATAGTGTCCGAGGGGGGAGTCGAGACCGATCCTGAGAAGATCAGTGCCTTAAAGACCTGGCCAATTCCGCGAACTCTGCGAGAACTGAGATCATTCTTAGGATTTGCCGGATACTACAGAAGGTTCATCCGAGGATACTCTGCCATAGCAAAGCCGCTGAATGACTTGACCAGAGGTTACATATCCAGTCGCAAGTCGGTCAAGAAAAGACCCAACATAAAGACTCAGGATTCCCAGCAACAGCCGTTCGGAGAGGGATGGACGCCGAAGTGTCAGCATGCCTTTGATACGCTGATCGACCAGCTAACCACTGCACCGGTTCTAGGATACGCTGATCCAAAGAGGCCATATATTCTACACACCGATGCTAGTGCTGTGGGGCTTGGCGCAGCCCTGTATCAGGAACAAGACGGCCATCTGAGGGTCATTGCGTATGCAAGCCGGGGGTTGTCCATAAGTGAATCGAGGTATCCAGCTCATAAACTTGAGTTCCTGGCGTTGAAGTGGAGCATTACAGAAAAGTTTCATGACTATCTGTATGGAGCCAGCTTTGTTGTGGTTACCGACAACAATCCACTCACCTACATCTTGACATCCGCCAAGTTGGATGCTGCTAGTCATCGTTGGCTCGCTGCCCTTTCAACGTACACCTTTACACTCCAGTATCGTGCGGGAAAACAAAACCTGGATGCAGATGCACTGTCACGACGACCACATGATTCGATACTCAGCACTACTTCTGACAACGATCTCATCCGTCAGTTCACTCAGGAGCATAGCGGTGAGCCGGGATGCGAGGTTGCACCCGAGGTCGTCGCTGCCATCTGCCAGGGCTGCCTTGTAAGAACCTGCCTTCCCGCCATCTCCTCTGATACTCACTCGATCACGTTGGTGGAGTCCTTGACTATGTCAGCGGAAGCCATACCTGAAAGTTACAGCGACGAGAGTCAACATGGGTTGCCAGTTGTGCCATCCTTGTCGCTTCAAGAACTCAAAGAAAAACAGAAATCTGATTCGTCCATCCGGGAAGTCATTCATCAGCTGGAGACCGGGGAACGAGTCCCTCTCACAGCACGGCAAGAGCTCCCTGAACTCGCCCTATTGCTACGGGAGTTGAATCGCCTGGAATTGGTGAATGATGTCTTGTACCGGAAGAGGCAAGATGGAGATCAAGTGCTGCGTCAACTCGTGCTGCCTGAAGAGCTTAGGACCCTGGTGCTGACAAGTCTTCACAATGACCTGGGCCATATGGGTATTGACCGAACACTCGACCTTGTGCGTACAAGATTCTTTTGGCCTCGTATGTCGGCAGATGTTGAGACCAAAGTTCGAACCTGTGATCGGTGTGTGAGGAGAAAATCCCTGCCATTGGTTAACATCACCACAACACGTCCACTTGAGTTGCTCTGTATGGATTTTCTGTCGCTAGAGCCGGATCAAAGTAACATTAAAGATATACTGGTCCTTACAGACCACTTCACAAAATTTGCTGTGGCCCTGCCAACGCCTAACCAGAAAGCACGTACAGTGGCACGTTATCTGTGGGAAAATTTCATAGTATATTACGGCATCCCCGAAAGGCTCCACACGGATCAAGGCCCTGATTTTGAGTCAAAGCTCATAAAAGAACTCTGTGAAATTGCTGGCATTGTGAAGACAAGGACTACTCCTTATCATCCACGGGGTAATCCTGTAGAGCGTTTCAACAGAACTCTCTTAAGCATGCTCGGAACTCTTGAGCCAAAGCAAAAGCAACGCTGGAAGGAGTACGTGAAGCCGTTGTGTCACGCATACAACTGTACCAAAAGCGACGTTACAGGATTCACGCCCTATGAGCTAATGTTTGGTCGCTCACCCCGTCTTCCAGTAGACCTTGCTTTTGGGTTGCCTGTCCGTGAAACCCAGTCCAAGTCACATTCACAATATGTTGCAAACTTGCGTTCCAGACTCGAGCAATCTTACCAAATTGCCTCCCAGAATGCTGGAAAATCAGCTGAAAAGAATAAGACTCGGTTTGACCAACGCATAACTCCATCAAGTTTGGATGTTGGTGACCGTGTTCTCGTTCGGAATGTAAGACTGCGTGGGAAACACAAGTTGGAAGATAAGTGGGAGCGAAACGTGTATGTTGTCCTCAACCGTGCTGGTGATCTCCCAGTGTACACAGTGAGACCTGAGAAACATGTGAATGCACCTACTCGAACACTTCACCGTGATTTGTTGCTGCCCTGTGGGTTTCTTTCAACAGATACTTACCATGAACTTTCAGAAATAACACCGCCTCGTAAGCCAGTGACTCGTAGTCAGCGACAAGCTGCTCCTTTTTCCGGGGACTTAGAAGACGACGGTAGTGATTTGCCTGTCTTTGCAGCTTACGTACCTGAAACCTTTACATTTGAAAAAACTGTCTCTAAACCGCCAGTTGATCCTATTCCAGCCAGTCCCTCGTGCTTGCCACCGCCTGACAACGCTATAGTGCCTATACTTTTCGATCTAGTCGAGCAAAACTTACCTGATCCGGAAGAGTCCTCTGCTGATGTTGCCACGTTGCCGCCTCCACCTGTTGAAAATGCTCAAGATTTCTCGCCTAACTCAAGTGAGTCTGAACTTTCATCTGAAGCTGAAGTCTCTGGCTCGGACATTCCTGACGAAAGAGAAGCGGAGCTCAGTGGCCAAGCAGAGACATCTCTTACCTCGACCGATACTGCTCATGACCCAACGGTAATTCCTGCTGACCAGTCCGTTGAGGGTACCGATCAAGCTGTAGTCGAGCCTGAACAATCTGTCCGTCGTTCTAGACAGCGACAGCCGCCAAAGCGTCTTGGTTATTCTGTCTTGGGCAATCCTCTAATCTCGGTTGTTCAGACGCTTTTGCATAGTCTTGCGGATGCATATGGCGAAGCGTTTAGTACTACCGCTGCAGCAAATGCCAGTTTTGAGTCATCCGTTTACGTTGTATAGCATGCACTCGGAGGTGCATGGGCTTAAGAGGGGAGGGTGTAACACAGGTGCCGAATTCACTCTGAATATACGTTCATGCCCTTCTCCTAATCTATGCTTAGTTGCGTGCTATCGCGAGAATAGGGTCATGTGACCATGTCCCGCCAATCACGTCCCTTTATTATCCGCTACCCGGAAGTTACCGGGAGACGTGAGGGAAGCCCAAGCATTTGCTGCTGCAGGAGCCAACTTCCAGTGCCGGACCGCAACATATGAGCCAGGTGTTAGGATAAAAGTGGACTTGGCCAGGCTTTTTATGGTTGATGGCGAGCTACCGAAACAGGATTCTAGCCTGAAGAAGAAGTATCACTCCACCTGGAGATTCCTACCAGGAACCCCAACCTCCTGCTCTGCCCGGGCTGGTAGGAGGCTCTCGCAGCCACCCTCACAACTCACTCGCACCTTCATTCTCCGGCCCTCTCATGCTCATTCACTCACTCTTCCCCATGGGTCAATACCTTACCCTGGATACTCAAACCTGACCCCGGGTCGTGTTGAACTGTTGCCACCTGTGCGAATACTAAACTTTAGTAGGAGTTAACGGATCGCTCCGCTTACTTTACTTTGTGGACACTGCACCTTTTGTATAATTGATGTGGGATTATGGTTTCTCTACTGTGTAAATACTGTTGTTTCTACTTGAATGGCCATTCTCAATGAGTTGTCTGTCTTGGTTAACTTTTTATGCATAATATACGGTACCAACCAAAAAGCAAGTTACCGTCTCTGCCTCCTCTCTCCGAGCCGACACCTAGTCTTCTAGCCTAGCCCATTTGAATAGCCTAAGACCAAATTCTATTGCATTGTAACTATAAGCGTCCTATATTCTATATGGTATTGGTTATTTATTTAATACGTGTTTAATTGCAGCAGATTGGCTACATGTGACACATGTGAACACACATGTGACACATGTGAACACACATGTGACACATGGGAACACACATGTGACACATGGGAACACACATGTGACACATGGGAACACACATGTGACACATGTGAACACACATGTGACACATGGGAACACACATGTGACACATGGGAACACACATGTGACACATGGGAACACACATGTGACACATGGGAACACACATGTGACACATGGGAACACACATGTGACACATGGGAACACACATGGGAACACACATGTGACACATGGGAACACACATGTGACACATGGGAACACACATGGGAACACATGGGAACACACATGTGACACATGGGAACACACATGGGAACACACATGTGACACATGGGAACACACATGTGTCACATGGGAACACACATGTGACAGATGTGAACACACATGTGACACATGGGAACACACATGTGACACATGGGAACACACATGTGACACATGGGAACACACATGTGACACATGTGAACACACATGTGACACATGGGAACACACATGTGTCACATGGGAACACACATGTGACACATGGGAACACACATGTGTCACATGGGAACACACATGTGTCAGATGGGAACACACATGTGACACATGGGAACACACATGTGACACATGGGAACACATGGGAACACACATGTGAACACATGGGAACACACATGTGACACATGGGAACACACATGTGTCACATGGGAACACACAAGTGACACATGGGAACACACATGTGACACATGGGAACACACATGTGACACATGGGAACACACGTGTCACATGGGAACACACATGTGACACATGGGAACACACATGTGACACATGGGAACACACATGTGACACATGGGAACACACATGTGACACATGGAAACACACGTGTCACATGGGAACACACATGTGTCACATGGGAACACACATGTGTCACATGGGAACACACGTGTCACATGGGAACATACATGTGACACATGGGAACACACGTGTCACATGGGAACACACATGTGTCACATGGGAACACACGTGTCACATGGGAACACACATGTGACACATGGGAACACACGTGTCACATGGGAACACACATGTGACACATGGGAACACACGTGTCACATGGGAACACACGTGACACATCTGAACACACATGTGTCACATGGGAACACACGTGACACATGTGCACTAGTATGATACTGAAAAGTCCTTTACAACTTTATGAAAAATGCTAATGAAGCATCTAGCATTTTACTTTGGACCAGAGCAGAGAAAATGGTCTGAACCCAGAGGCTACTCCACCCAGTGACCCGTCCTGCTCCACCCAGAGGCTACTCCACCTCTGCTGCTGTGACCCGTCCTGCTCCACCCAGAGGCTACTCCACCTCTGCTGCTGTGACCCGTCCTGCTCCACCCAGAGGCTACTCCACCTCTGCTGCTGTGACCCGTCCTGCTCCACCCAGAGGCTACTCCACCTCTGCTGCTGTGACCCGTCCTGCTCCACCCAGAGGCTACTCCACCTCTGCTGCTGTGACCCGTCCTGCTCCACCCAGAGGCTACTCCACCTCTGCTGCTGTGACCAGCTACTTTGCTGCTACTGGACACCTGCATTTCTCCTTCAGGGGATCAATAAAGTATCTATCTATCTGCATTTTATGGGCCCATAACTATGTGCTGTAGACCCAGGCCTCAGTCCTGGTCTACAGCCTCAGTCCTGGTCTACAGCCTCAGTCCTGGGTCTACAGCCTCAGTCCTGGTCTACAGCCTCAGTCCTGGGTCTACGGCCTCAGTCCTGGGTCTACGGCCTCAGTCCTGGGTCTACGGCCTCAGTCCTGGGTCTACGGCCTCAGTCCTGGGTCTACAGCCTCAGTCCTGGGTCTACAGCCTCAGTCCTGGGTCTACAGCCTCAGTCCTGGGTCTACAGCCTCAGTCCTGGGTCTACAGCCTCAGTCCTGGGTCTACAGCCTCAGTCCTGGGTCTACAGCCTCAGTCCTGGGTCTACAGCCTCAGTCCTGGGTCTACAGCCTCAGTCCTGGGTCTACAGCCTCAGTCCTGGGTCTACAGCCTCAGTCCTGGGTCTACAGCCTCAGTTCTGGGTCTACAGCCTCAGTCCTGGGTCTACAGCCTCAGTTCTGGGTCTACAGCCTCAGTCCTGGGTCTACAGCCTCAGTCCTGGGTCTACAGCCTCAGTCCTGGGTCTACAGCCTCAGTCCTGGGTCTACAGCCTCAGTCCTGGGTCTACAGCCTCAGTCCTGGGTCTACAGCCTCAGTCCTGGGTCACATGGGAACCCAGGACGTGTGGAGACTTCTCAGATCCAGTTTGCGGTTGATGGTCACCTGAGACTTTACTTTGAGAGGAATCCATTTCAGATCCAGGAGGCGAGGGACCAGGAGAGAAACCTCATCTCAATTAAAGCTGGAGCCAAACAGATCCTGCAGTTGTCCACATGAGAACCAGGAGTCCCGATCCACACACCATCAGAGGGTCAGGCACCAGCAACACACCATTATGACACTATTTGTACTTTCAGAATATTACATTACTATAACCAAAAGACACTTGGAGAGACAAGAGAGACCAGAGAGAGAGACCAGAGAGAGACCAGAGAGAGAGACCAGAGAGAGACCAGAGAGAGAGACCAGAGAGAGAGACCAGAGAGAGACCAGAGAGAGACCAGAGAGAGAGACCAGAGAGAGAGACCAGAGAGAGAGACCAGACAGAGACCAGAGAGAGAGACCAGACAGAGACCAGAGAGAGACCAGAGAGAGAGACCAGAGAGAGAGACCAGAGAGAGAGACCAGACAGAGACCAGAGAGAGAGACCAGACAGAGACCAGAGAGAGACCAGAGAGAGAGACCAGAGAGAGACCAGAGAGAGAGACCAGAGAGAGAGACCAGACAGAGACCAGAGAGAGAGACCAGACAGAGACCAGAGAGAGACCAGAGAGAGAGACCAGAGAGAGACCAGAGAGAGAGACCAGAGAGAGAGACCAGAGAGAGAGACCAGACAGAGACCAGAGAGAGAGACCAGACAGAGACCAGAGAGAGACCAGAGAGAGAGACCAGAGAGAGACCAGAGAGAGAGACCAGAGAGAGAGACCAGAGAGAGAGACCAGAGAGAGAGACCAGAGAGAGACCAGAGAGAGAGACCAGAGAGAGACCAGAGAGAGAGACCAGAGAGAGACCAGAGAGAGAGACCAGAGAGAGAGACCAGAGAGAGAGACCAGAGAGAGAGACCAGAGAGAGAGACCAGAGAGAGAGACCAGACAGAGACCAGAGAGAGAGACCAGACAGAGACCAGAGAGAGACCAGAGAGAGAGACCAGAGAGAGACCAGAGAGAGAGACCAGAGAGAGACCAGAGAGAGAGACCAGAGAGAGACCAGAGAGAGAGACCAGAGAGAGAGACCAGAGAGAGAGACCAGAGAGAGAGACCAGACAGAGACCAGAGAGAGAGACCAGACAGAGACCAGAGAGAGACCAGAGAGAGAGACCAGACAGAGACCAGAGAGAGAGACCAGACAGAGACCAGAGAGAGACCAGAGAGAGAGACCAGAGAGAGACCAGAGAGAGAGACCAGACAGAGACCAGAGAGAGAGACCAGAGAGAAGAGAAAGTACAACAATAATGATAAATCTGTTTAGGTGCAGACACTCAAAGACTCACCTTTCATTATTCACTCTCTCCAACCCTAACCCCACCCCTCTCCACCTCCCCTCCCTCCTTTCTCACAATACAATCCAATGTATTCTTGTATAGCCCTAGGTCACAACAGAAGTCATCTCAGAGACTTAACAAAACCATTGAAATCACCAACACAGGTCAGAGAATCAACAGTTAAAACACATGAAGAATATAAAGCACACACAGAAGAAAATGTAAAGTAGGAAGGAGGAGAGGATAGTGCTCAAGTTACCATACTTCTCCAGCAGGGGGCGCCCTATGCAGCTTGACTGACAGTCTGAGGAGTTTAGCCTTCCCTGAGTCTTACCTTCCTAGCCATATGCTAAACTAAAGAGGACTGTTTTAAACCTAGCCTTGAATAAAGAGAGCGTATCTGAAAGGAGGCGAGACAGCAGCAGCCACGGCTAGCCCAGGCTACAGCACCAAGACTCATGGATTACACACCAGGTGTGCCAAACCGATCCAAGCAAACCTAATTATATATTATATATCATATACATCATATATACCATACATACCATATATATCATATATAATACACAACATAACATACAGCATAATATATAACATAATATACAACATAACACAATACATTATTGAATAATATATAACATAATATATAACATAATACAGCATATATATATATATATATATATACACCATATATTATATATGACCTAATTATATGCTAAATTAAAGTAAAGTGCTTTAAGCCTGGCCTTGAATGTGGAGACCGTATCTGCTTCCTTAACATAAATGAAGCTGATTCCACAGTAAAGGAGCTTGGAGCTAAATGCTCTGCCGCCAACAGTGACCTTTGAGACCTTAGGGACCACCAGACGTCTGGCGTTTTGTGAGCGCAACGCTCGACTTGGTTGATACGACACTAACGTGTCTTGGAGATAAGAGGGAGCCAAGCCATTTATGGCTTTATATGTTAAGAGAAGGATTTTAAACTTTATTCTGTACTCCACAGGGAGCCAGTGGAGTGATTTTAACACCGGAGTTATGTGCTCCCTCCTTTTGGTTCCTGTTAAGATCCTAGCTGCTGTATTCTGAACGAGCTGGAAGCTCTTCAAAGACGCTTTAGGGCACGCTGCCAGTAAAGCGTTACAGTCGAGCCTTGAGGTGACAAACGCGTGAATGAGTTTTTCCGCGTCACTTTTAGGAAGGAAATTCCTAATTTTAGCAATGTTCCGTAAGTGGAAGTACGCCGTTTTAGTTGCTTGGCTTATATAAGCCTTGAAGGGGAGTTCTTGGTCAAAAATGACTCCAAGATTCCTCACAGTGTTACTGGGTATAATACTGACATTATCAGAGTAATTATCTGGTTAGTGAGGGAGTCACGCAGGCGCTTCGGACCGAGTAGGATCACTTCTGTCTTCTCCGGGTTGAGAAGTAGGAAGTTAAGAGTCATCCATATTTTAAGGTCCTTTATGCAGCACTGAGCTTTTCTAGCTGATCTGTCTGATTAGGCTTCATCGACAGATAAAGCTGTGTGTCATCTGCATAGCAGTGGAAAATTAATTCCATGCTTTTTAATAATGTTTCCTAGCATGTGAAAAGCATGTACCGAGAGTGCACACCGAATTCTACTCCAGAATAAGGCGACGAGTTCTGATTCACATTGACGAAGTGATACCGATCTGATAAATAGGATTTAAACCAGCCAAGGGCTGTTCCTCTAAGACCTATATCACATTCTAGCCTCTGCAGTAGAATGCTGTGGTCTATTGTGTCAAATGCAGCACTAAGGTCCAGTAGGACCAGCACTTACTCACCCCCTTCTCACCCCTCTCCACCTCCCCTCCCTCCCTTCTCACCCCTCTCCACCTCCCCTCCCTCCCTTCTCACCCCTCTCCTCCCTCCTTTCTCACCCCTCTCCACCTCCCCTCCCTCCCCTCCCTTCTCACCCCTCTCCTCCTCCCTTCTCCACCCCTCTCCACCTCCCCTCCCTCCCTCCCTTCTCACCCCTCTCCTCCCTCCTTTCTCACCCCTCTCCACCTCCCCTCCCTCCTTTCTCACCCCTCTCCACCTCCCCTCCCTCCTTTCTCACCCCTCTCCACCTCCCCTCCCTCCTTTCTCACACCCTCTCCACCCTCCAGTCCCTCCTTTCTCACCCCCCTCTCCACCTCCCCTCCCTCCTTTCTCACCCCTCTCCACCTCCCCTCCCTCCTTTCTCACCCCTCTCCCACCTCCAGTCCCTCCTTTCTCACCCCCCTCTCCACCTCCCCCTCCCCTCCTTTCTCCCCCCCTCTCCACCTCCCCTCCCTCCTTTCTCACCCCTCTCCACCTCCCCCTCCCTCCTTTCTCACCCCCCTCTCCACCTCCCCTCCCTCCTTTCTCACCCCTCTCCACCTCCCCTCCCTCCTTTCTCACCCCCCTCCACCTCCCCTCCCTCCTTTCTCACCCCCCTCTCCACCTCCCAGTCCCTCCTTTTCTCACACCCCCTCTCCACCTCCCCTCCCTCCCTTCTCACCCCTCTCCCCTCCCCTCCCTCCCCCTTCTCACCCCCTCACCACCTCCCCTCCCTCCCTTCTCACCCCTCTCCACCTCCCCTCCCTCCCTTCTCACCCCCTCTCCTCCCTCCTTTCTCACCCCCTCTCCACCTCCCCTCCCTCCCTCCCTTCTCCCCCTCTCCTCTCCTCCCTCCCTTCTCACCCCTCTCCACCTCCCCTCCCTCCTCCCTTCTCACCCCTCTCCTCCCCTCCTTTCTCACCCCTCTCCACCTCCCCTCCCTCCTTTCTCCCCCCTCTCCACCTCCCCTCCCTCCTTTCTCACCCCTCTCCACCTCCAGTCCCTCCTTTCTCACCCCCTCTCCACCCCCTCCCTCCTCCTTTCTCACCCCTCTCCACCTCCCCTCCCTCCACCCCTCAGTCCCTCTCCCCCTCTCCAACCTCCCAGTCCCTCCATTTCTCACCCCCCTCTCCACCTCCCCTCCCTCCTTTCTCACCCCCCTCTCCACCTCCCCTCCCTCCTTTCTCACCCCTCTCCACCTCCCCTCCCCCTTTCTCACACCCCCCTCTCCACCCCCCCTCCCTCCTTTCTCACCCCCTCCACCACCTCCCCTCCCTCCTTTCTCACCCCCCTCTCCACCTCCCCTCCCTCCTTTCTCACCCCCCTCTCCACCTCCCAGTCCCTCCTTTCTCACCCCCTCTCCCCACCTCCCTCCCTCCTTTCTCACCCCTCTCCACCTCCCCTCCCTCCTTTCTCACCCCTCTCCACCTCCCTCCCTCCTTTCTCACCCCTCTCCACCTCCCCTTCCCCTCCCCTTCTCACCCCCTCCACCCCCCTCCCCCCTCCCTCCCTTCTCACCCCCTCTCCTCCCTCCTTTCTCACCCCTCTCCACCTCCCCTCCCTCCCTCCCTTCTCACCCCCCTCTCCTCCCTCCCTTCTCACCCCTCTCCACCTCCCCTCCCCCCCCTCCCTTCTCACCCTCTCGTCCTCCCTCCTTTCTCACCCCTCTCCACCTCCCCTCCCTCCTTTCTCACCCCTCTCCACCTCCCCCTCCCTCCTTTCACCCCTCTCCACCTCCCCTCCCTCCTTTCTCACCCCTCTCCACCTCCCCTCCCTCCTTTCTCACCCCTCTCCACCCTCCTCCCTCCTTTCTCACCCCCTCTCCACCTCCAGTCCCTCCTTTCTCACCCCCCTCTCCACCTCCCCTCCCTCCTTTCTCACCCCTCTCTACCTCCAGTCCCTCCTTTCTCACCCCCCTCTCCACCTCCCCTCCCTCCTTTCTCACCCCTCTCACCCCCTCCCCTCCCTCCTTTCTCACCCCCCTCTCCACCTCCCCTCCCTCCTTTCTCACCCCTCTCCACCTCCCCTCCCTCCTTTCTCACCCCCCTCTCCACCTCCCCTCCCTCCCTTTCTCACCCCCCTCTCCACCTCCCCTCCCTCCTTTCTCACCCCCCTCTCCACCTCCCCTCCCTCCTTTCTCACCCCTCTCCACCTCCCCTCCCTCCTTTCTCACCCCTCTCCACCTCCCCTCCCTCCTTTCTCACCCCTCTCCACCTCCAGTCCCTCCTTTCTCACCCCCCCTCTCCACCTCCCCTCCCTCTCTCCCTCCCTCCTCTTATGAGAACATAATAGTTCAGCTGTGAAAGGTCATCTGCTGCACCACAGATGGCTTTAGCATCGGGCTAACGCTAATCACCTCCTGGAAACATGCCTCCACCAGGACCAGGACCAGGACCAGGACCAGGACCAGGACCAGGACCAGGACCGAGCTGACACAGCAGATCATACACTGTCACACACCATCTGAGCGATCAGGGACCATCAGGATCAAGATAAGATAAATAAACCTTTATTCATCCCTCAGAGGGGAAATAATCACATCACAATAATGACGCCAGTAGATGATGAAGAGAGACCAGAGAGAGACCAGAGAGAGAGACCAGAGAGAGAGACCAGAGAGAGAGACCAGAGAGAGACCAGAGAGAGACCAGAGAGAGAGACCAGAGAGAGAGACCAGAGAGAGACCAGAGAGAGAGACCAGAGAGAGAGACCAGAGAGAGACCAGAGAGAGAGACCAGAGAGAGAGACCAGAGAGAGAGACCAGAGAGAGAGACCAGAGAGAGACCAGAGAGAGAGACCAGAGAGAGACCAGAGAGAGAGACCAGAGAGAGACCAGAGAGAGAGACCAGAGAGAGACCAGAGAGAGAGACCAGAGAGAGACCAGAGAGAGACCAGGGAGAGACCAGAGAGAGAGACCAGAGAGAGACCAGAGAGAGACCAGAGAGAGACCAGAGAGAGAGACCAGAGAGAGAGACCAGGGAGAGACCAGAGAGAGAGACCAGAGAGAGACCAGAGAGAGACCATAGAGAGAGACCAGAGAGAGACCAGAGAGAGAGACCAGAGAGAGACCAGAGAGAGACCAGAGAGAGAGACCAGAGAGAGACCAGAGAGAGAGACCAGAGAGAGAGACCAGAGAGAGACCAGAGAGAGAGACCAGAGAGAGACCAGAGAGAGAGACCAGAGAGAGACCAGAGAGAGACCAGGGAGAGACCAGAGAGAGACCAGAGAGAGACCATAGAGAGAGACCAGAGAGAGACCAGAGAGAGAGACCAGAGAGAGAGACCAGAGAGAGAGAGACCAGAGAGAGAGACCAGAGAGAGAGACCAGAGAGAGAGACCAGAGCGAGAGACCAGAGAGAGAGACCAGAGAGAGAGACCAGAGAGAGAGACCAGAGAGAGAGACCAGAGAGAGAGACCAGAGAGAGAGACCAGAGAGAGAGACCAGAGAGAGAGACCAGAGAGAGAGACCAGAGAGAGAGACCAGAGAGAGAGACCAGAGAGAGAGACCAGAGAGAGACCAGAGAGAGAGACCAGAGAGAGAGACCAGAGAGAGACCAGAGAGAGAGACCAGAGAGAGAGACCAGAGAGAGAGACCAGAGAGAGAGACCAGAGAGAGAGACCAGAGAGAGAGACCAGAGAGAGACCAGAGAGAGACCAGAGAGAGACCAGAGAGAGGGAGACCAGAGAGAGACCAGAGAGAGAGAGGGACCAGAGAGAGAGACCAGAGAGAGAGGGACCAGAAAGAGAGACCAGAAAGAGAGACCAGAGAGAGAGGGACCAGAGACTAGAGGTTTCAGAATCATCATTAGTTTAACCAGAGAGTGAGTCCGAAGAGGATTTGACACAGCATATCTTAACACCATCAGGGACCATCAGGGACCATCAGGGACCATCAGGGACCATCAGGGACAATCAGGGACCATCAGGGACCAGGCGATGGTGCAGCTGCTCCACATGAGAAATGCAGAGTCAGAGTTCCCGTCAGCAGAAGACATCTGTCTGTTTTGGACTGAGGGTCTCCGCGGGTCTCCGCGGGTCTCCGCGGGTCTCCGCGGGTCTCCGCGGGTCTCCGCGGGTCTCAGCGGGTCTCAGCGGGTCTCAGCGGGTCTCAGCGGGTCTCAGCGGGTCTCAGCGGGTCTCAGCGGGTCTCAGCGGGTCTCAGCGGGTCCCAGCGGGTCCCAGCGGGTCCCAGCGGGTCTCAGCGGGTCCCAGATCAGGTTCACACAGTTAACATTCTCTGGACCCTGAGCCTGGTCTGCCCATCAACACCAGGAGGGAGACCAGAGAGAGAGCAGGGAGACACCAGAAACCAGAGAGAGCAGGGAGAGAGCCCAGAGAGACAGACCAGAGAGAGACCAGAGGGAGACACCAGAGAAACCAGAGAGAGAGACCAGAGAGAGCAGGGAGAGAGACCAGAGAGAGAGATATTTGCTCCATGGAGGCGTTTCCCAAATTCCAGTGAAGTTCACATGGTTTCCTCTGTTGTCCTCGTCCAAAAAGCTACAGGTTCATTTCTAAACTTCTGGTTGTGTGAACTTCTGGTTCCGTCTCCTGCTGATCCAGGCTCATGAGGGCTCTGGAAACAGGGTCTGAGTCTGAGCCAGAGCCAAGGCCTGGTCCTCAGAGTCTGGGACCTCCACCAGCGGCACCAGGAAGGGCAGACCATGGACACAGCTCACCTGGTCCTGCCTCAGCTCACACTGCATCCTCTGCAGGGTGTCCGCCACAGCTGCCCTGGAGGCAATGGAGGGCATCTGACGCACCAGCCGCACCGCCTCTCCCTGGGACACACACCAGAAGAGAGTCAGAGACCAGAGACACACACCAGGAGAGAGTCAGAGACCAGAGACACACACCAGGAGAGAGTCAGAGACCAGAGACACACACCAGGAGAGAGTCAGAGACCAGAGACACACACCAGGAGAGAGTCAGAGACCAGAGACACACACCAGGAGAGAGTCAGAGACCAGAAACACACACACCAGGAGAGAGTCAGAGACCAGAGACACACACCAGGAGAGAGTCAGAGACCAGAGACACACACCAGGAGAGAGTCAGAGACCAGAGACACACACCAGGAGAGAGTCAGAGACCAGAGACACGAGACACACACTAGGAGAGAGTCAGAGACCAGAGACACGAGACACACACCAGGAGAGAGTCAGAGACCAGCGACACACACCAGGAGAGAGTCAGAGACACGAGACACACACCAGGAGAGAGTCAGAGACCAGAGACACACACTAGGAGAGAATCAGAGACCAGAGACACACACCAGGAGAGAGTCAGAGACCAGAGACACGAGACACACACCAGGAGAGAGTCAGAGACCAGAGACACACACCAGGAGAGAGTCAGAGACCAGAGACACACACCAGGAGAGAGTCAGAGACCAGAGACACACACCAGGAGAGTCAGAGACCAGAGACACACACCAGGAGAGAGTCAGAGACCAGAGACACGAGACACACACCATGAGAGAGTCAGAGACCAGAGACACACACCAGGAGAGTCAGAGACCAGAGACACGAGACACACACCAGGAGAGAGTCAGAGACCAGAGACACACACCAGGAGAGAGTCAGAGACCAGAGACACACACCAGGAGAGAGTCAGAGACCAGAGACACACACCAGGAGAGAGTCAGAGACCAGAGACACACACCAGGAGAGAGTCAGAGGCCAGAGACACGAGACACACACCAGGAGAGAGTCAGAGACCAGAGACACGAGACACACACCAGGAGAGAGTCAGAGACCAGAGACACGCACCAGGAGAGTCAGAGACCAGAGACACGAGACACACACCAGGAGAGAGTCAGAGACCAGAGACACACACCAGGAGAGTCAGAGACCAGAGACACACACCAGAAGAGAGTCAGAGACCAGAGACACACACCAGGAGAGAGTCAGAGACCAGAGACACACACCAGGAGAGAATCAGGGACCAGAGACACACACCAGGAGAGAGTCAGAGACCAGAGACACACACCAGGAGAGAGTCAGAGACCAGAGACATGAGACACACACCAGGAGAGAGTCAGAGACCAGAGACACGAGACACACACCAGGAGAGAGTCAGAGACCAGAGACACACACCAGGAGAGAGCCAGAGACCAGAGACACACACCAGGAGAGACTCAGAGACCAGAGACACACACCAGGAGAGAGTCAGAGACCAGAGACACACACCAGGAGAGTCAGAGACCAGAGACACGAGACACACACCAGGAGAGAGTCAGAGACCAGAGACACACACCAGGAGAGTCAGAGACCAGAGACACGAGACACACACCAGAAGAGAGTCAGAGACCAGAGACACACACCAGGAGAGAGTCAGATACCAGAGACACACACCAGGAGAGAGTCAGATACCAGAGACACACACCAGGAGAGAGTCAGAGACCAGAGACACACATCAGGAGAGAGTCAGAGGCCAGAGACACACACCAGGAGAGAGTCAGAGACCAGAGACACACACCAGGAGAGAGTCAGAGACCAGAGACACACACCAGGAGAGAGTCAGAGACCAGAGACACACACCAGGAGAGTCAGAGACCAGAGACACACACCAGGAGAGTCAGAGACCAGAGACACACACCAGGAGAGAGTCAGAGACCAGAGACACACACCAGGAGAGTCAGAGACCAGAGACACACACCAGGAGAGTCAGAGACCAGAGACACACACCAGGAGAGTCAGAGACCAGAGACACACACCAGGAGAGTCAGAGACCAGAGACACACACCAGGAGAGTCAGAGACCAGAGACACACACCAGGAGAGAGTCAGAGACCAGAGACACACACCAGGAGAGAGTCAGAGACCAGAGACACACACCAGGAGAGAGTCAGAGACCAGAGACACACACCAGGAGAGAGTCAGAGACCAGAGACACACACCAGGAGAGAGTCAGAGACCAGAGAAACACACCAGGAGAGTCAGAGACCAGAGACACACACCAGGAGAGAGTCAGAGACCAGAGACACACACCAGGAGAGTCAGAGACCAGAGACACGAGACACACACCAGGAGAGAGTCAGAGACCAGAGACACACACCAGGAGAGTCAGAGACCAGAGACACGAGACACACACCAGGAGAGAGTCAGAGACCAGAGACACATACCAGGAGAGTCAGAGACCAGAGACACGAGACACACACCAGGAGAGAGTCACAGACCAGAGACACACACCAGGAGAGTTAGAGACCAGAGACACACACCAGGAGAGTCAGACACCAGAGACACACACACCAGGAGGGAGTCAAAGACCAGAGACACACACCAGGAAAGAGTCAGAGACCAGAGACAGACACCAGGAGAGAGGAGAGTCAGGGACCAGAGACAGACACCAGGAGGGACACAGAGAGGGACCAGAGAAACCAGGGTCAGATCAGAGACCAGGGAGAGACCATTACACATAAGCCTTCTATTGCAGTCAATGCTAGAGAAGACCAAGTCTGACCAAGAGCAGTGTTTCTTGGGGAATGAAACACCCCGAGACCCTCGTGCCCTGGGCCGTCACACACAGAGGGGCTGGGGGGTTACACATACATTGGGAGTGAAATATCTGAGAAACACATTCACCTTGAGGTAGTTGTGGACCTTGAGCGGCCTGCACTGGGACACACTGCTCTTCAGCACCGCGGCACGGAGGATCTCCTGCAGGTCTGACACCCCGGGGAACGGGACACACTCTGGGACCGCAACCATCATCACCTGTCCACCTGCCACACAAGCAGAGACTGAGGCAGAGACTGAAGCAGAGACCGAGGCAGAGACCGAGGCAGAGACTGAAGCAGAGACTGAGGCAGAGACTGAAGCAGAGACTGAGGCAGAGACTGAAGCAGAGACCGAGGCAGAGACTGAAGCAGAGACTGAGGCAGAGACTGAAGCAGAGACCGAGGCAGAGACCGAGGCAGAGACCGAAGCAGAGACCGAGGCAGAGACTGAAGCAGAGACTGAGGCAGAGACTGAAGCAGAGACCGAGGCAGAGACCGAAGCAGAGATTGAAGCAGAGACTGAGGCAGAGACTGAAGCAGAGACTGAAGCAGAGACTGAAGCAGAGACTGAAGCAGAGACTGAAGCAGAGACTGAGGCAGAGACTGAAGCAGAGACTGAAGCAGAGACTGAAGCAGAGACTGAGGCAGAGACTGAAGCAGAGACTGAAGCAGAGACTGAGGCAGAGACTGAAGCAGAGACTGAAGCAGAGACTGAGGCAGAGACTGAAGCAGAGACTGAGGCAGAGACTGAGGCAGAAACTGAAGCAGAGACTGAAGCAGAGACTGAGGCAGAGACTGAGGCAAAAACTGAAGCAGAGACTGAGGCAGAGACTGAGGCAGAGACTGAAGCAGAAACTGAAGCAGAGACTGAAGCAGAGACTGAAGCAGAGACTGAAGCAGAGACTGAGGCAGAGACTGAGGCAGAAACTGAAGCAGAGACTGAGGCAGAGACTGAAGCAGAAACTGAAGCAGAGACTGAAGCAGAGACTGAGGCAGAGACTGAAGCAGAGACTGAAGCAGAAACTGAAGCAGAGACTGAAGCAGAGACTGAGGCAGAGACTGAGGCAGAGACTGAAGCAGAAACTGAAGCAGAGACTGAGGCAGAGACTGAAGCAGAGACTGAGGCAGAGACTGAGGCAGAAACTGAAGCAGAGACTGAAGCAGAGACTGAAGCAGAGACGGAGGCAGAGACTGAGGCAGAGACTGAAGCAGAGACTGAGGCAGAGACTGAAGCAGAGACTGAAGCAGAGACTGAGGCAGAGACTGAAGCAGAGACTGAAGCAGAGACTGAGGCAGAGACTGAGGCAGAGACTGAGGTAGAGACTGAAGCAGAGACTGAAGCAGAGACTGAAGCAGAGACTGAGGCAGAGACTGAGGCAGAGACTGAAGCAGAGACTGAAGCAGAGACTGAAGCAGAGACTGAAGCAGAGACTGAAGCAGAGACTGAGGCAGAGACTGAGGCAGAGACTGAGGCAGAGACTGAGGCAGAGACTGAAGCAGAGACTGAAGCAGAGACTGAAGCAGAGACTGAAGCAGAGACTGAGTCAGAGACTGAGGCAGAGACTGAAGCAGAGACTGAAGCAGAGACTGAAGCAGAGACTGAGGCAGAGACTGAGGCAGAGACTAAGGCAGAGACTGAGGCAGAGACTGAAGCAGAGACTGAAGCAGACTGAAGCAGAGACTGAAGCAGAGACTGAAGCAGAGACTGAGGCAGAGACTGAAGCAGAGACTGAAGCAGAGACTGAGGCAGAGACTGAAGCAGAGACTGAAGCAGAGACTGAGTCAGAGACTGAAGCAGAGACTGAAGCAGAGACTGAGGCAGAGACTGAAGCAGAGACTGAAGCAGAGACTGAGGCAGAGACTGAGGCAGAGACTGAGGCAGAGACTGAAGCAGAGACTGAGGCAGAGACTGAGGCAGAGACTGAGGCAGAGACTGAAGCAGAGACTGAGGCAGAGACTGAAGCAGAGACTGAAGCAGAGACTGAGGCAGAGACTGAAGCAGAGACTGAGGCAGAGACTGAAGCAGAGACTGAAGCAGAGACTGAGGCAGAGACTGAAGCAGAGACTGAAGCAGAGACTGAGGCAGAAACTGAAGCAGAGACTGAAGCAGAGACTGAGGCAGAGACTGAGGCAGAGACTGAAGCAGAGACTGAAGCAGAGACTGAGGCAGAGACTGAGGCAGAGACTGAAGCAGAGACTGAAGCAGAGACTGAGGCAGAGACTGAAGCAGAGACTGAAGCAGAGACTGAGGCAGAGACTGAAGCAGAGACTGAAGCAGAGACTGAGGCAGAGACTGAAGCAGAGACTGAAGCAGAGACTGAGGCAGAAACTGAAGCAGAGACTGAGGCAGAGACTGAGGCAGAAACTGAAGCAGAGACTGAGGCAGAGACTGAAGCAGAGACTGAGGCAGAGACTGAGGCAGAGACTGAAGCAGAGACTGAGGCAGAGACTGAAGCAGAGACTGAAGCAGAGACTGAGGCAGAGACTGAAGCAGAGACTGAGGCAGAGACTGAGGCAGAAACTGAAGCAGAAACTGAGGCAGAGACTGAGGCAGAGACTGAAGCAGAGACTGAAGCAGAGACTGAGGCAGAGACTGAAGCAGAGACTGAAGCAGAGACTGAGGCAGAGACTGAGGCAGAGACTGAAGCAGAGACTGAAGCAGAGACTGAGGCAGAGACTGAGGCAGAAACTGAAGCAGAGACTGAAGCAGAGACTGAGGCAGAGACTGAAGCAGAGACTGAGGCAGAGACTGAGGCAGAGACTGAAGCAGAGACTGAAGCAGAGACTGAGGCAGAGACTGAGGCAGAAACTGAAGCAGAGACTGAAGCAGAGACTGAGGCAGAGACTGAAGCAGAGACTGAGGCAGAGACTGAAGCAGAGACTGAGGCAGAGACTGAGGCAGAAACTGAAGCAGAGACTGAAGCAGAGACTGAGGCAGAGACTGAGGCAGAGACTGAAGCAGAGACTGAAGCAGAGACTGAGGCAGAGACTGAAGCAGAGACTGAAGCAGAGACTGAGGCAGAAACTGAAGCAGAGACTGAAGCAGAGACTGAGGCAGAGACTGAGGCAGAAACTGAAGCAGAGACTGAGGCAGAGACTGAAGCAGAGACTGAGGCAGAGACTGAGGCAGAGACTGAAGCAGAGACTGAAGCAGAGACTGAGGCAGAGACTGAAGCAGAGACTGAGGCAGAGACTGAGGCAGAAACTGAAGCAGAGACTGAAGCAGAGACTGGGGCAGAGACTGAAGCAGAGACTGAGACCCTCCAGCGCCGCCAAGTGGAGTGGAGAATAGTATATTCTTTAATACAGACATTAAAATAATGAACCTTGTATTGTTTCATAATGTGATGCCCGTTCAAAACAATTGTGAAGTCATTATACATTCTTCTGGCACCTCTGGCCACATTCCTGCTCCTCCAGTGCGTTAATAAGACCATAAAACAATTAAATCCTGTGAATAGTTTCTTCTCAACACACTCAGAGTTTGACATTTCCACAGTTGAACCAGTTTCTGACTCCAGTGTTTTGAGCCAAACAGAAGTTGCACAATGGCCGGTGTTTTGGTCCTGAAGTGTGCCGTTACTGCAGCTTTGACTCTGAGCCAAACTCTCCACATTTTTGAGAGGGCAGCGTCTCTGATCAGGGGACCCCCAACGGAGCGGCAGGTCAGCGCGGGGCGACCACAACAACACCGAGAAAGTGCTGACACAAGGACTACAGCACGTCCACCTTTCATAAGGGTTTGATGCTCGTAGTGAGTCCAGTCTGAGACTTGGAAAATGGGAGGAGTCTGCCCCTTATGGACCCTCTGATTCTCTGATCTGTGCTGGAGAATCGACAACTTCCTCTGTGAACAGGTGGAAGTGAGTCCAGTCTGAGGGAAACGTGTGGCGTCTGCTGTGCTCCTGCTTGGTTGGAGTTAGAACCTCTCCGGGGTTTAGACCCAAATGAACAGCTGAGCAAAACATGCTCCAGATCAGCCATTCCCAAAGTCAGTAACACCGCGGCCCCCTTAAAAATCTGACGGGTCTGTGCGGCCCCCAAAATAATAACCAAGACGACAACGTTAAAAATAGGCCCATCCATCCATCCATCCATCCATTTTCTTCCGCTTTAGCCGTTGCCGGGTCGCGGGGGCAGCAGTCTAAGCAGAGACGCCCAGACTTCCCTATCCACACACACTTCCTCCAGCTCGTCCGGGGGGACCCCAAGGCGTTCCCAGGCCAGCTGAGAGACATAGTCCCTCCAGCGTGTCCTGGGTCTTCTCCCGGGGCCTCCTCCCGGTGGGACGTGCCCGGAACACCTCCCCAGGGAGGCGTCCAGGAGGCATCCGGAACAGATGCCCGAGCCACCTCAACTGGTTCCTCTCGACGTGGAGGAGCAGCGGCTCTACTCCGAGCTCCTCCCGTGTGACTGAGCTCCTCACCCTATCTCTAAGGGAGCAGCCCCTCTGCCGAGGAAGCTCATTTCGACCGCTTGTATCCGCGATCTCGTTCTTTCGGTCACTACCCAAAGCTCATGACCATAGGTGAGGGAGGGAACGAAGATTGACCGGTAAATCAAAAGCTTCGCCTTTCGGCTGATTCTCATCCCAGCCGCTTCACACTCGGCTGCAAACCGTCCCAGTGCATGTTGCAGGTCCTGGTTCGTTGGAGCCAACAGGACAACATTGTCCGCAAACAGCAGAGATGAAATCCTGTGGTCCCCAAACCGGACCCCCTCCGACCCCTGGCTGCGCCTAGAAATTCTGTCCATAAACACAGTGAACAGAACCGGTGACAAAGGGCAGCCCTGTCGGAGGCCAACATGCACCGGGAACAGGTCTGACTTACTGCCGGCAATGCGAACACAGCTCTGGCTCCGGTCATACAGGGATCGGACGGCCCTCAGCAGAGGACCCCGGACCCCGTACTCCCGGAGAACCCCCCAAAGGACACCCCGGGGAACACAGTCGAACGCCTTCTCCAAATCCACAAAGCACATGTGGACAGGTTGGGCGAACTCCCGTGAACCCTCGAGTATCCGATGGAGAGTATAGAGCTGGTCCAGTGTTCCAGTACCTTGGAGTAAACCTTACCGGGGAGGCCGAGGAGTGTGATCCCACGATAATTGGAACACACCCTCCGGTCCCCCTTCTTATAGAGAGGGACCACCACCCTGGTCTGCCACTCCAATGGCACCGCCCCCGATCGCCACGCGATGTTGCAGAGACGTGTCAGCCAAGA